GTTGTGTCGGGAAGGTGAGCATCATAGAATGCCAATTTAATAGAAGAAAGTATTCTTGCATTGAGGGAGTACTTGAGTGGAGGCCCAGTGTCTAAAAGGACAGAGGCTATTCTTTCTGACAGCCAGGCACCATCTTATTTTTCCACCACACTTTGCTACTACATGTTTATCTTCTTTGACCCCTTCATAAGGGGAAGTATTGAGTATTACAAGAAGTGATTTGGCTTAGGTTAAGGATCATAGTAAAGTGCAGAGGCTGTCTATCTTTAGGGGAACAGACAGCCTCATATTTCTCCCTTAAAGTGGCTGGTGGGTTTGGCAACTGACTTTGCATTTAGCAGCCTACCACCCATAACATCCTCGGGGCTCCATCCCAGCACAAAAGAGTCAAGGTCTCAACTGATGCCAGGACCTAGATTTTTCTCAGAAAGTAACAGTTCTAGGTCTATCTCCAACCAACATTTAGCAAAGTGGATAATGGAAGCCTGAGAGTTTTGCTCCATAGAGCATGTTCATCTGGCTGAGAACCTTTGCAAGGAGTGCTAGTAGTTGAAGTCACCTCTGTGGCCGAGATCCTTCGCCACTATTGAGTCCTATATGCAGTGACAAAAGCTAGTGACAAGGTATAAAATGAATGCAACAGCGATAAGTACAAGTGACCTTTAGATAGCTCTGCAATTGTGTCATGTGACCTATTATACAACTGTGTAGTAACAACTGTATAATGTGATATAAAGTATGACTTCTCTTTCTACCTGAAGAGCCACATTTCAAGGTCACCTCCTCTTTTAAAGAGCCTCATTCCCTAGTAGTAATGATGAGAAGCAAAAATCTCCATGGCTTCTCTTTCTGGAAAAGTCCTGAGTAGTGCGAGCACTGACATACTCTGTTGCCTACGTTCATGCTGGAAGGAAATGCGAAATGCCAGTTTGGGGTGAATGAAAAATAAGAGCTGTAGTTTCCTGATCCCAGCTAAGAACTCCTGTGTTTTGATCGGGGTGTCAGTTTGTGGGACAGTAGCTACAATGCCCCTCCCTCAGAGTGATTGGTAATCATCCTTGTCTAGCCACAAGAATGGAACAATTGTGTGATCTCAACTGGGCTTTGATCTGCGCCCAGGAACCTTAGAGAGAGTTGCAGGCCAGGGGAAGCACGGGGAGGCTGAAGGAGCGAGGGGGCAAGAGAAGTGGAAGGGGCCCTGGGGGAGGGTGGAAAGGTCCTTGTCAGCAGGAGGGAGGGATTGAGGTGACACTTAGGTTTTCCACACGCTAATGTCGATGACCAGAGACAAGCGGCAGCCTGCCATTTTCTCTGTAGAACAGGCCAAGCGAGTTCTGCTCAATGAGCTTTGAGTACCATCATCAAAGCAGAGTTCAATTAATGACATCTTTGCTCAAGCAACTGTGTGCGTGTGTCTTGCTACAAACGTCCATAGAGAAAAATCCCTAAAACTTTCTTTCCCCTGGCACAAGGTGAGGAAGGAAGAGGTGGAACATGACCCAACTCAACATGAAGTATGTCTTCTCTTTCTACCCGAAGAGCCAGGCTGCAAGGTCTCCTCCTCGTTTAAAGAGCCTCGGTGCCCGGTGGTTAGGATGAGAAGCACCTGGACGGAAGGCGATTACGTAAGTGCCTGACTCTGCCTCCAAGTGCCTTGCCTTACATCAACACTCTGTGCCTCAAAACCATTGCTCTTCAACTTGGGCTCCAAGGCTCCCCCGCATGTTGTGGCTCTGATGAACTCCCCAGCCTTCTTGGTAGTCACCCTCACCACTCTCTCTGGACCACCCAGCGGGCTGTGCCATTAGATTCGCTGCATCCCCCCTCCCCACCCCCAATGCGTCATCCACTTTCTCACCTTGACAACCTTCTCTGCTGTTCTGTCCAACACTAGGCTTCCTGTGGCCAAGGGGTGGGGGTGGGGAGTCGGGGGTGGGGGGTGGGGGTGTCTCATTTCCTCAGCGACAGGGGCATGTACATATTTGTTGAATGAATGGACACAAACATTCACCACCTTCCTACTGGGAGCCCTGGTGGTGCAGTGGTTAAGGGTTAGGCTGTGATCTGCATGGTTGGCATTTCAAAATCACCCACAGCTCCAAGGGCCTTCTACTCCTGTAAACGGTTCCAGTCTCGGAAGCCTACAGGGAGTTGCTCTGGGTCAGCATCAACTAGATAGATAGCAGTGCGTTTGATTTGGTTTGGACCTAACTACTGAGTACTGGAACACTTTATGAGCGGGGCAAACGATGCCCTGGGGCGATGTAATGGGTTTGAATCCTCTCTTATGTCTTCATTTGAATATTATAAATAGTTTGTTGTTGTTGTTGTTGTTGTTTGCTGTCATAGAGTTGGATCTCTGACCCAAGCACAACAGGGTGAAAACCACCCTGCCCTGAACCACCCACTTGATGGGTCACAGCTATGATCATTGTGAGCCTAAACATTTTCTTTTATCCCCAAACATTCAGTCATTTCTGTACGTTATGTTTATTGGCACAATTTTCATTCTAGAAATGGTGTCAATATTCTCATGATTTCCATTCCCATGAAGTTAGTCTCCCTCCCCCCAGCTGTGCATGAGAGGGGCTGTTGCCTGTGGTAACTCATATCAATCGTCTTTTTAAGAGAATACAGTACAGTTTGAGCTAACCTGCTCTTTAGTTCAAAGGTGACGTCAGCGGGGAGTTTGGGTTCAGAGTTTAAAGACTGTCTCTGGGAAACAGGTTTGAGGATTCCTCCAGCCTCGGTGCATCCAGTAGGTCAGGATGCTCTGCGATTTTGAAGTTCTGTTCCACATTTTCCTCCCTTTATATTATGATCCATCTCTAGTGAGCCTGACGAGAACACTCGATGGTGACAGTCAAACCCTTAATCACCGCAGCCCCAGGGATCCTGCGGACGGATATTCCAATACACAAAACAAGACCGAGAACCCACTGCCCTGGAGTCACTGTCAACGCATAGCAACCCTGGGACAGGGTAGAGCGGCCTCTCTGTGTGTCCTAGATTGTAACTCTCTAAGGGAGTCAAAAGTCCCATCTTTCGTCTGCAGACATCTTTCTCCCGGTTTTGAACTGCCGACCTTGTAGTTAGCAGTCCACTTCACCACGAGGGCTCCTTTCAGATTAATATAGCACCCAGAAAGCTAGAACAGGTAACCTGAGAACTTCCAAAGGAATAACTTTATTAGCAAACATTTCCTGGCAGGGCTGCAGCTAGAGGAGGGTGCTTAGAGAACATTCCAAACTCACATTTGCGCAAGATTGAAGAAAGGCTATTAGAAAATAAAACCATCAAACCAATTTGTAAATGACTGATCAAACACTAATCACCAAATTAGAGACCCATGTTGCCTTAATCATTGTTGACTGAGAGAACAATAGCCGGAGAGAATCTCCCATAATGAATACGTCCTTTTGGCTCTCCCAGGATGTGAGGGTCATTCTTGCTCCCTGGCATCCTTGGCTCTGTGGCATCCCTGGCTCCGGCTCTGTGGCATTCTTGCTCCCTGGCAACTTCAGGTGCTCCTCTGGTGAACTCTTCCTGCTCTCCTAGCCAGGCGATGGCGCTGACGCTGCCAGTCCATGCATGTCACCCCACGGTTATAAGAAAAGCAGACCCCCAAGTCCCACTCCTGCCCGAGCTGCTCCGGGAGCTCGTGTGCACATTCCAATGTATGAAGCATGGCCCTAAAGTGCCCCCTGGTTTCTTAAAAAACCCCACTGTGCTTTTCCAAGAGTGACACGGGCCACTCAAGCATCTCAGGTACAGTGAGAATTAGCAGAAAAAACAACTGAGTGAAAAATAAGTGGTCGTGACAAGTAGAAGGCACAATTACTCTAACACAACTGCAGGGTGCCTCGGATACAGGTGTGTGTTCAGGGTTCCTCTTGGTCAGAGAGCTACTAATTCATCCAGGCAGTTCTCACAGGGTTAGTCAGTCAAATACCTGATCAGCTACCTGGCCAATCAGTGGACTGATGACCTGGGCGTGGCCATCATGGGACTTCATCTACCTGTCCATTATGATTTGTCAATGAATATGACCACACAGGTCCAAGCACATCTCCCAGTGAAATCTGTTACGTACGTGTCGAAGAGAGAAGGTCTCGTTCTTTTGCATCATCATCTGTAAGGAATAGATTCATGGCTACCACATTTCAGCACAGAACCATGAGAGCAGCCGACAAAGAGAAGCACAGGAGAGCTTGTGTGCCACCAATCCAACTACCCCCTAGGAATATGAGCAGTGTAAGCCATGGCATGCTCGTAGGGACGGGTTTCTGTCCCCTGCAACCAGTGTGTTCAGGTATCACAAGTCCTTTTTGCCGTAAAGCAATGACCACCCAAGAAATTGATTAAGCTGGTACCCATGAATTTTAGCACTGTGAGCCAGGTAACAAGTTGAGTATTGGGTAAAGGAAGATGAAGAAAGTAGACACACACACCCCCCAGCCTTCAACAAGTTGATAGTCTTGGTGCTGAGACTGGTGGGGAGTCAAAGATGTGAGCGAATCATATAACTCGGCTTAGAGGATGATGTCATGCTATGAGTGAAACATCCGAAAAACACAGAAAGATCAAGAAACAAGGTGAAGGCTTGGCCTACAGTTATCTTTTTGTGGGATCCTAAAAAGGGAGAATTACCCAGGATTTTTTTATAGACCATGATGTCTCAAGTAGAGGAGATGCATGTACAAAGGTATGGATTTGTGAAGCACATGGGGTCTGGTGACCTGGAGGGGACTTGAGGGTCTCGTCATATGGTGTGTGGCTGAGAAGAATGGCAAGGAATGAGCCTGCAGAGATGCATCATGCAAAGACTTTGTCAAGCCAACATGTCTGATGCAGCCCGTAGACAGCAAGGAGCTCCTGTGGGCTTTTAAACAAAAGGAAGCTATGAGTGGAGTCACATTACAGTAAGCTATCGCTGGAGTTTAATGGGATCATGAAACTCTGAACTTCTGGATGGCAGGCATGTCCCGGTGCATGATTGAGTACATAGGCATTGAATTGGGAGATGGCAGTAATCTTAACCCAGGCAGTTGCAGTAGGGATACCACAAAGGGTTAATCTTGGAAAACATTTTGGAGTTCTAATCAATAAAAAAACCAACTCACTGCCATCGATTCGATTCTGCTCATAATGACCCTATAGGACGGGTAGAACGGCCCTGTCCTATTAGGTCACTATGAGTGTGGGTCTGGGGATAGAGGGACTGTGATTCTTTACGAGCATAGAAAGCCATGTCTTTTTCCTGTGGAGTGGGTAGTGGTTTCAAACTGCTGACCCTGCCTCAATGCATAACCACTACACCACCAGGGCTCCTGATACGCCAAGAAATAAATATCGAGAAAGGAAGAGAGAGAGAAATAGAGAGAAAGGCCTGGCTTCTAGCTTGGGCCACTGATGAGTGGAAAGAAGAAATAGAACGCAGGTTATCAGAGAAAGGGAATGGCCTCGTTTGGGAATGTGGTTGATTTGAAGGATGCAAGGAGGGTAGACTCCCAGACTAGCCTTTGAGGGGAAGTCCAGGTAAAACTTGAGACCGAGGACAAGGGTTGGAGAGATGTGAAGAGCTGCAAGTCGCCGACCGCCTCAGCGCTGCCGTTCACAAGACTGGGTGAGTGTCCGCCCAGAGAAGGAACTTGTTCAAATTGTCCAAAGAAATGCCGCAAAATCAAGTGTCTGTATAATCATTACACAGAAAAGAAAGCTCCCCCCGCCCGCAGACCCACACCCCACTACAGGTGGTGGCAAAATGCCCCCCCTCCCCAGCCGCAGTCGGAGAAGACAAGCTAGGCTCTGCAGGGCTGTGCCCCACGCAAACGGAAAGATACTGGAGAGTCTGGATGGAGCTGAGGTCCACCCTGCGGAGGAGAAAGGGCAGATGGCCAAACCAGGCAGCGTCTGAGGAACTTCTGCCAAACCCCGGGGAACGGTTGAGCCAGGAGGCCTTCCAGTTTTGTCTCTGTCCTGCCAAACTGGCCACACGCTGCCTGTCTTCCCCAGCCCGCACCTCCATGTGCCCTTGATAAGAAGCCAGTCTTTGGATGGCTATACTCATGGGTCAGGGCATGCACAACAAGGCCAGGCGGGTCTTCCCAGGAATCCTCAGCTAACCTTGTTGGACACACCACAGCAATTACATACGGGAGCTGATTATTCCTGTGGCGGTCCACCTTTCCCTTTTAAAAGAGAGCTGAGTTAATGTTGAACAATCGCTATCATGTGCTAAGCGATAAAAGCAAATTGTACAGCTGCATGCATAGTAAGTAGGGCCTATTTGTTTTTGCTTTATTTTCTCTGGTCTAAGTGTGTGTGAGGGGCTCTGGGGCGCAGTGGTTACATGTTGGACTGCTAACTTCTAGGTCTGCGGTTCAAAGCCACTGGCCTCTCTGCAGGGGAAAGACGGGGCTTTCTACTCTCGGAACGTCTGTAGAATATCGGTGTGTAGGACTGTGGGTGCTTGTAGGTTAGCCGGATGACTGCAGACTGAGACGAGACACCTCGACACTGAGAAGTAAGTTGGGGAGGGAGACGACTTAACTTTTCTTTTTTCACCTTCGCTTTTTTAATTCTTCACCAGAAACGTATTAGTTTTACAAGAGAGCTTTTTTTT